CCCAGTATTCTCCAACATGTAACCAGTACAATCACTTTGATATGTATTTGATTGCTATTTTTGTATATATATCTATATACATTTCACACTAATAGGATAGTTATTTTTACATAATATTTATATATCTACACCTATATCTTGCTTTATTCCAACAACTTGTCTTAATTTTTTTCCATGCTAGAATTTTCATACTAATTTCTTTTACTTTACTGTATACCAACTACTCCACAGCATGGTTATGCCATGACTAAGTCACTTCCTTCCTATTGGATATTGAATTTGCTGCATACTTTAATCAGTTACAGGCAGCGCAGCAATGAGCTCCACAACGCACTCATGCACATGCTCGGGCAGTTGTTTTCACAATGTGGTATGGGGACTCGCAACAACAGTGTCACCTGGGACCTTGTTAGGGATGCAGGGACCTTGTTAGGATGCAGACTGCCGGCCATGCTCCAGACCTACTAACCGAGACTGAGGCGCAGCAATGCGTAGTACTGTAATGAGCCTCCCAGTGATTCTTACGTATAGCATTTGAGAACCACTGGCAAGTGTGTGTACACATACATGTATATATGTATATAGTCCGTTCTCTTTTACTGTGACATATACACTCCTAAACATTCCTGCACTATACAACATTGTACAATAAAAGTCACAGGGGTTATAAGAAATATGAGGCCAGGCACAACAATTAAAAGCTGGGATCCTAATAAAAATATAGCTTAATCTGATACATGCTATATGGGTAAATAATACGGATGCTATAATCAATATGGCACTTTCCTTTAAAAAGACCTAAAGTTTGCCTGTGGCAGTTGGGAGTGGAGGGTTGCCTTTTGTGAGTTATTGGATAGGTGATAGAGGGAGGTTGTCTGATATTGGAAGGAAAATTTTAACACCAGATGAGGTGGGTGTGGCTTGTAACCCATGTGGTGAAGTGGAGCAGTTGCTTACGTTGAGGTGTGTGCATGTGGGCACTTAGTGTGTTACTATGTTGCACAGTTCAGTTGCGTGCAGTTTTGTGCTTTCACCTAGCCTTTCTCATTGATAGAACTGCATGTAAGTGAAAGTGAAATTGGAATTATGCCCAAAATTTTCCTCACTCTGTTGTATTGGAAGAAACTTGTCTTTTCTTTTGTATAAAAGAATACATTTTGTTAAGGCAGAACTGACTATATACACATATATGTGCCTTTATGCAAATGTTATGCCAATAACTCTCCATACGGTGCACTCCTGCAGCTTTTGCACTTAAATTTTTTACTTAGCGTCTCTTTGAGCTTTTCCCATACATCACATAGGTACTAATATTTTATAAAAATGACATTTCAAGCACTGAGATAATTAAATGACCTCCAAAATACTTGCATTGTTTTACACTACTACCACCATACTTCTTAAACCCTGGCAAATATTGCCTTTTATCAAATTTATTAATTTATACCAACCCAGTAGTTAAACTTCACATCTCTCTTCCCACCGCCAACACATAATCATGCTGACAGGAAAAGAAGCTTTAAAACGTGAAACAGCTGAGAGGTACTGCAATGGGAAAAAATGAAATACAGTGGGTATGTGAAAAAGCATAAGAAAACCCTATTAAAAATGGAGCAGAAAGAATTTGACTCTCTGCTTATTTTTTTTTTACCTTTGCGAATACAGCTTATCCACTTTATGAGATAAGATACTGAGTTGACCCTGTTACGATTCCGTCTATCACTCTAGCTAGTTGACATCTGCAAAAAAATGCAGTTTACACTGTTAATCCATTCACTTCAGCAAAAACACGCCTAGGGGCATCAGATGCTTCTGTTTATCGGTATTGGGATCCATGGCCCCGACAGGCTGAGAAGACACAGCTGATCCGGGTAATGTGATGGCTTCAACACTGGAGTCCGGGGCCTCTGAATGCAAAAGCTATAGAAATTGAGGCTCATGCAGGTGTCAGATGTTCTCCTGTTAAGAGGTTGGCAGTGAACAAAACTGCTTCCAGCTGGGCACATTACTACACAGGGAAGCCATAATGATTTAATAATTAAATCATATTGGCTTATGATCATTGTTCTTATTAGGAGATATCACTGCTTTGGTATGATTTATTGTGTGAAACTGAATTTTCATATAAACAGTGTGATTTACATTTGTATATAATATATACTTGGATATCTACCTGTCCATCTATCTATCTATATGTCTCCAAATTAGAATGACTTATTGAAAGTAATCACCAAAAAATAGCATGGGATATTGATGTAAAGATGCAAAGATATTTAAGGAAACATAGAAATCATAAAGATGAATGTAACGTCGCCTTTTCAGATTCAGTTATTTGTTTTTATTTTAAAAATAAAAGGAGGAAAACATTAACAGACAGACAACATTTTACAAAATAGCAAAAGAACAGTACAGACAATACGGAGTTACAAACAAAGTGGTAGGGAATTAACAATGCTTGTTGTATTACACATTGATATCTTCAAAGTGGTTTCTCATGAAAACAGACACAGACATGCAATACTGATCAACCAAGGACTCATTGACAGTTTCTTTTAGCAAAGAAATAGAAGACAGTAGAACAACTATGTTAACTATCCTGCATATACATACATACAAAATTTCTACTTCTTTCCCTTCTCTTTTCCCACATCCCAGTTGCCCTTTACCCTTGAGTACTTTCCTATCATTTCACAATGTCTATCATACCTCCGAGTTTAAATTAACTCTTTCAGGTTTTACACTAGTGAAACAATGCGGTGCTTGGACATATATGTTTGATTTATTTCACTTATGAGTATGGTCTCTAGTTGTGACCATTTACCTATAAAACCCTTGAGTTTATCTTTCTTTACAGCTGAGTAATATTCCATTATATAAAAGTACCACAATTTTCTTATCCAACCCTCGGTGGATGGACATTTGAGTTGCTTCCACATTTTAGCAATTACAAATTGTGCTGCTATGAACATAGGTGCACATATATCACTGTGATATGATGTTTTCAGATCTTCTGGGAAAATACCCAGCAGAGGGATAGCTGGGTTGAATGGGACCTCTAGACCTAGTTTTCTGAGGAATCTCCAAACTGATTTCCACAGTGGTTTCACCAGTCTGCATTCCCACCAGCAGTGGAGAAGGGTTCCTATTTCTCCTCGCCAGGCATTTGTTATTGGTTGATTTCTTAATGCTAGCCATTCTTACTGGGGTAAGGTGGAATCTCAGTGTTGTTTTAATTTGTAGATTCAGTTATTTTCAATGCATTTTCCTTTATTTGAAAGCAGCAAGAAGAGAGAATTACTAGCTGAATCAACCTGTTTGCAGTTAGGTTTTGTACACTTTGTAATTTCAAACTATATTATTAATAAAGTATATAAAATTACATTTATATAAAAGACTTATGAAATCAACATTTCACTTCTAAGGAACTCACTTACTTGGGTCACTTTAACTCATAAAAAGAACTTTCAGTTTCATGAGACCTAGAGCAGCTCCTCTGAAGCAGGCAAGAACTTTGAGGACAGTTCTCCTCTCTCTCCCTCTCTCCTTCCTTCCCTCTCTCCCGCCTTAGCCACCCTCTGTCCACTTGTCATGACTTGTAAGTGCAACTCCTAGGATCAACCCAGAGTGCAAAATTCGGTGGTGAGTTGCAAGGGCAAAGCCAAGCATTTCTCCCACTAATCTATACCGGGGCTGGCTACATGACTTGCAGGTGCCAGTGCAAAATGAAAATGCAAGGCCTCTTGTGCAGAAAGCAGAATAGATTGCCACTTTAGTCCCTGAAGGTACTAAAATATAAAGCTTTCTCTTGTCTTTCATGACATCTCTCTTTTGATTTGTTATAGTATTTTTATTTGCTATTTGCTACTGCTACAAGAAAACTGAAATTTTGTATCATTAGCATGAATTTTTCCATTCATCTTTATATTCTATAATGCAGGTTTTAGTGCAAATTCAAGAGCATTTAACATGCATATGGAATTGTCAAAATGACACAGTTTGCATTTTTTAGCTTATGCATGCATATATATTTTTTTCCTTACTAGCGAGTTAGAAAAGCTCTACAGAAGGAGCTCAGCCATTTTCATTTTACTTCTTAATACATATACAGTCTATCAACACTTGCTACTTTCAGCACACTGATGAGTAAGGGAAGGCTGAAAGAAAAAGAAATTATGGACTTCCCTTTCCCTTTCCTTCTATGTTATCATTTCAGTATAAGAGGTTAGCAAACATATGGAAGTAATAGGAGAGAGGATATGACAGGGATCATTCAGCTTCTGAAAACACCATTTCCTTCTTTCAGTGATACAAATTTTGGTTTGCACGGAAAGCACGGCCTCTTGGAACTGTCAAAGCCCCAGCTCACTCAGTTCTGAGGAACATGCTTATCTTATACTCTGTGTCTCAACAAACCCCCGTGCATTGTGGGCCTGCCACGATCCTGAGTTCCTAGAAGGAATCACTAGTGGTATATGCCAGCTTGGCACCTAGGATCTGCACATATCCTGTGTGTTTCCTCTATTCCCACACATATTCCATTGTCCTCTCAGACTCTGTTTACAAAATACAAACTCATAGATTAAATTCTTAAGAATTTTAAGACAGTGACAGTAGAGCATTAAATCAAGTGTGGAGTACTCCTGCATGTGGGGGCTTGTCTGGTTGCATGGGTCACGTGTCCACGAAGCCAGGCCCTCTCTGCATCAGGGGAAATTACTGGCAGCCTGAAGGCTCATGTGCATGTAGTGTATAGCGGGACCAAGTTCGAAGCAGGCTGGACACTGCCAGTACTATATCTGTGCAAAATGGTGTCTTGAAATGCTTCCAGTGTATTAATATTACCTTTGGACAACCGAATTGCTTAGTTGGCCTCCCAGTCCCAAAAGAAGAGGTCTTTCGGCGGGGTACCTAGAAGCTCCCAGCTGCAGCAGGAACCATGGACTCATCACTGAATCAGTGTTTCTGTATCCCTTAAAAGTTTTTGTTTGTCTTCCTCTTAGGATTTCCAGCAGGAGAGCTCCAGAAGCCTTTCTTTTGGGGAACAGAATATCCTCGGTGAGTAAATTAATAAGGAAACCAATTATTGACCAATTAGGAGGAAGAGCATGCTGCTTTGGCAAAGGACAGAATATAAAGTCAGAGAAGTGAAGTCAGTGAAAGTTTAGCAGATATAGGGGCATGGAACCTAGTGTGGGTTGGCTCTACTCTTACTATTTTGAGTCTTTTAATTTTCTACTAGGTCTTTGTTTCCTGTTCTTCATTGTTAAGGTGTCTAAGGTGTATAACTACACTGGAAGGCAAACTTATACATAGATCTTTTTAATTTTTACACATTTATTCACTTGAAGGATTGTTGTAGATGCAATGTTCTAAAATCTTTCCAGGCGAAGAAGCAGTATGAGAAATGTGTTTAGAGAAAGACAGAGTCCAGTTGGGCTGTCCCAAACGGTATATGAAGGGAAGTAGTGGAAAGTAGTCTGCAGAAGAAGGTTGGAGTCTGATATTAGATGAGAACCTTGGATGCTAAAAAGCAGTAGAAAATCTTGAAGTTTTTAAGCAGGTAAGATAATCAAATATGTCTTTAGAAATATTACTTGTGTAGTTACAGAGTAGGTCAAAATAGTTCCTGAATATAGGATTACCAGTTCAAAAGCTATTAATAACAGCCGATTATAGATTTATATAATTCAGAATTTCCATATATAATAAGAATTCTTATAATATTCATTGCCAGTAACATCACCACTTTTATTATATGCCTGTGTGTTCTGGTGCCTTAATGCGTGAGCAACTGTGTCTTGATTTTGCAAGTTGAATGTCCTGTGTTTTGCTTTGGATATATGACAACTTTCCTATGATCATTGAGGTTAAAAAAGATATGGGATTGCATAATTATAGAAATAAGATAAATACAGTGGCGGTGTTTTGATTTGGGATTCTCTAGTAGAAGAGCCTGTGATAAGGATTCAAGTTCTCTCGGGAGGTGGTACCAGAAAACACAAGCAGAGGAGAGAGGAAGTGAGACAGAGAAGGAAGGAAGCCAATGAATTGTGTCCTATGAGTCTTTTGTGGCTGCCGAAATGAATTACCACAAACTTGGCTTAAACATTGCAGGAACTTACTAGAGTATAGCTTCTGTAATCCAACCTGGCTCTCACTAGGCTAAAATCAAGGTGTCCACGGGGCTGCTTTCCTTTGGGGAAACTCTAGGGAAAAATTCTATTTCCTTAGCTTTTCTAGCCTTTGGAGGCAGCCTGTATTTCGTGCTCTATACTCTTCTTTCTCTGTCTTCAAAGCTCCATAGTCCCATCACACTTTGAATCTCACCTTTTGTCCCTCTCTCCTACTTTTAAAAATCCTTGGGGTTACATTGGGCCCACCCAGATAATCCAGGATAATCTATGTTTTAAGGTCCGCTGATTAACAACTTTACCTTTTCTTTGTCATGTGATATAACCTGTTCACAGGTTCCAGGGAATAGCAAGCACATGGACATCTTTTGGGGGCCATTATTCTACAGTACTTACCACATGTGTATTACAAAAAACCAGTTATCACCATGGGCAACTGGAACTCAGCCTCGCTAGTGAACTATAGAATGGGCTTTACAGTGATCCCACCTCAGGGACAAGGAAGCCTGAGTATTTACCCTCCAAGTCACAATCTATCATTGCCTGAGGCCTGCTATGAGGGGCCTTGAGTCTGTGGCAGTGCCCAGCCTACACTAAGAGATCTCTATTCACTGGAGAAAATCCTTAGGCAACTACTTTCAGGAGCTGGGAGTTGAAAACTATCAAATTGCGGTGCTCAGAAATGCTGAGTGCTGCAGGGACATAGGCAGGCAGCAGTGAAGGCTACTGTGAGAGATCACCAGAGTTAGAACAAATGAAAATTCTAGGTTTGTATATAATAAAATCCACTGATACCATCCTAGGTGTCAGCTGTAGTTTTTTAGCATTTAGATATTTGCAATTAATTTTCCCTATGTTTAAGATTAGTTATATATGCGTATATTTCCATAAAATTAAAGATTTAGGTTAATTATTCTTTAAGGTAGGTCCCTTCAAACTAAAAAAGGCCTTAGAATTCTTTTATTCTGCTTATCATTAACAATTTAACTGAGTTTATACTACTGTGATTATGTCACTGGACTTGAAAAATAGTTTGGTTAGGTTTAGAAGTTATTGATGCAATGATTTGTTTATTGGATTTATAAACATGACTTCCTGAAATAATTGTCAAAATCATAGAAACTTAAGAATTAATATTAGTTATCTATTAGTTTTACATTAGGTTGACCCATAGTTGAGACTTGAGTGGGACAGAGATTTGTATTTTTTTCCTAAAGAGTTCTGTGTGTTTACCAAGGCCATCTATCTAGTAAGCTAGCCACTCAGTGAAGAGCTATTATCTGTTGGGTACTTGGCATTGGCATTTAGAGATGCCGGATATATGGGAATCTCAGTCTAGTCAAATGGCTACCTACCCATTCATCCATCTGTTCTGCCTTAATTCGTAGATGGCCACCATGAACCAAGGGAGTGGGTATTATTTTTACTAACATTGGTCAGCTTAGCTCTCACTTGAGCAGTAGGTCTAATTATTAGGACACGAACAAGCCAAATTAATTCCAGAAGACTCAGGATTGTAAATAGTATAAAGAGAACATTTCTCAAAGTGTCTGTTTCATGAAATAGTAATAGAGGTAAGACATTGTTCTCTTCCCTCTGTTTTGGAGAATCCCAGTATGGATCAGCATAAATGTTCACAAGAAGTTGTATGATAAAGAAACCTATTTGAATATATTCAGCCTAGATGTTCCTAAGCTCTTTTCCCTAAATTTTTGGAAATGCCAGTCTAGAGGTTATGATTTAAAAATAAGAATTTAAAGACCTTAGGGGGCATTTAAGGGTGGAACCTCATGACTGTTTTCATATATTCAAGGGAAAATTAAGGTGACAGAATGATTTATTATGTTCAGGAGAGTCAGCAGGTGTTTAACTAGAGACTGCACTGGGCCATTACATTGGAGACACAGGAAAGAAAATTTAGATCATCGGGGAGAGCTGTTTTATTTAAAAACAACCAAAAAGGGAATGGGCTACCTAAGAAGGTGATCAGCCCCTGGCCATTGGAAATGTCCAAGCTAAAGTCTTAGGATCATTTGAATAGGTTTTTGTGGAGAGACTCATGACTCTAGTAGGGAGTTAAGCTAGATGACCATAAAGCCACTTCCAAGTTGGAGATTTTTATGATTTTATAAAGAAGACATAAAGGTAGCCCTTACTTGACACCAAAATGAAATCATGGTGAGCCAAGACAGCATATAGACATATGTTTAACACATCAGATAGTAAGAACAAAAGAGAAACTGAGTAGGTAGTAAAATTGTTATGTTCTCCATTTTATTTTTGGAAGTCTTCCAAAAATTGCAGGAAGTCTTCCAGTTTCTGGCCAGCCAGTTGCATTTTAAGAGGCACATGAGTTTATTTTTATATGACACGCTAATTTAAATAACGCCCATTGATAAAATGAAGGATGTGAATTTAATATTATGAAACATTATCATTTTAAGGCTTAGTCATACAGAATTACAGTACTTTTTCATTGTCTCTTGTCCAAAGGAATGTAATTTTGTTGCTCAGAATTGAAACTTAAAATGATTCAATCATTTTTTTATTAGTACATATTTGCAGTGCATAATGATCACATTCATCATGGGGATTTTGTGCATGGATGTAATAAGCCTTAATGCTTTTTTGTCCTCTCCCTCTTCCCTCCCTCCAACCCAGTTTGCAAAAGCTCCTCCCAATTTGCAAAAGCTCTATTTCTATTTTTTTCTCCAGCTTTTTTCTTTTAAATCCCTTTTCCTGTCCTTCCCTCCCACCTCCCCATCTCTTGTTCACCTTTCCATTTGAAAAAGTTCTTCCTACTTCCTAATATTTATCTTTTTTTTTTTTTTTTTTAAGGGGAGGGAAAGGTTTATTTAGCTTACAGTTCATAGAGGTTTCAGTCCATATAAACTGGCTCCAAGGCAGGGTGGCACATAGCAGAGGGACAACAGTCTCAATCCTCTGTCTTGCTCCTTTTTTATACTTTGCAATTCAGTCATCATCAGCATTCTCTATTACGATTTGCAAATAGGAAGTTTGTTGGAGGATTCCCTCTTGTTTTTTTTTTTTTTTTTTTTTTTTTTTTTCTCCTGAGACAGGGTCTCTCTGTGCAGTTCAGGCTGGCCTTGAGCTCACTTTGTCTTCCACACAGATGAAGACCCAAGTACAATTTGTTGGGGTTTTTTTGTTGTTTTTTTTTTTTTTTGGTTTTTCTCCAGTAACGGGAACCAAACTCATGACCTTGCACTTGCCAGGCAGGCGCTTTTGCCGCTGAGCTAAATCCCCAGCCCCGAGGACCGAGGATTCCCTCTTAATGGACATTTATTGCACAGCAGTTCCTATAAGCTTCCATTGTTCATTCTACAAATTCATTCAGTCCACAGCACTGAATGAATGTTGTAGAGGACTGAATACTTGTTCTCGGGCCTGAGGAAATCTGGAAAAACTTAACATTGCAGGCTGCACAGTGATAGCTACTGCTGCAAAAATTAGCACTATGTAAAATGACAAGTTTGTCCCACACTGCTATGATCGCCCTATGATTGAAATGCATAATTTTACTCTTACTTCTTTAATGAAGGTTTGCAGTGATGGAAAAACAGTAGGAAGTATTTTTTTTCAAATGCAAATTACCTTCCAGGAAAGAAATAACAAACGAAAGAATTGCCACCAAGGGGAAAAATTAAATCTTACAGCACTTCCTTGGGTATAGTTGAGACAAACAATTAGCATGTTAAGGATCATTATGTCCTGTAATAACACGTTGCTTCAAAAATTTCTGTTCTTTCCAGTTATGGGTCCTATCTATTTGCTGGGTGACTTTGATGTTGCATGTCAGGAACCAACTGTGACATATTTTTAGCATAATTGCAGATCTCAAGAAGAATCTTTACAATAAGGATTTTAAATTGTCTATTGTTCTCATCCAGAGGTTAAACAACTTAAATATGTTACCTATAGATCTGCCACTTGCATGAGATGGTACAGTTAACCACTGGTTAAATCACTGCTAAATTTCTTACTGTGTACTAGGTACACATAATTTAGCAGTGAAAAAATTGACGAGAATTTGGCCTTCTTGGAAGCCATAGTTGAAAGAGAAAATTCTGGACACACAGGAATGGAAACCCCTCTGTTGATTTCTTCATATATGTATATTCTGTTTCAGTTCTTTACTGCTACATAGCAAAGCACCATCAAGCAACAATTTATGGGTTCATGATTCTGCAAGCTAAAATAGCTTGTCCCTCCTGCCTGTGGTGCTGACTGGGATAACTCCATAGGGCTGGGAGATCTAAGAGAATGACGGAAAACCTTTTAGAGACCAAGTGCCCAGACTGCAATCCCAAACCTACTTGTTTATCTTAAAGTGCCAACACTGCAATTAAACCTGAATACTGAGGTTTTAGCTTAGAAAAAACAACTCATACTTTAACAGCTTTTGTTTTAAAAGAAAAACACAGTAATACCTGTGCCACAGGTTTGCCACTTCTGATCTAAGGTAACTTCGCTCACACACTGAGTTGGCTTTAATGAGTAGGATCTGGCAGAGCCTTTCTTTTTTTTCCATCAGAGTTTCTCAGCTTTTGGAATCTCTCCCTGGCTTCACCTGGTCTCTTTCCTTCCAAATGCATAGTCAAATTTCTTTTCATTGTAGCTAACTTCTGAAAGTACAGAAAATGCACACTGCAAAGGCTCTTAAGGCCGAGGCCCAGGAGTGACACCTGGCCCCTTCCACAGTATTCTGTTGATCACAAGTGCCAAGGCCATTCCAGATTCAAGAGCGAGGAAACAGATCACCCCTGGATGGGAGGTAGAATTGTTGGTGGCCACAACTGTACATAATCTGCCTGCTTCTTCATAGGAAAAGAGAAGTAAATAATGTAATGCCTTTTCCAAATCTGATTAGGGCTTCACAGTCTTTGCACTCAGTTGTCAGCTTGTTTGCCGCACTAACAGAGGAATATGATTTTGAAAACAGAGTGGTTGTAATCTCTGCTCCAGTCCTTTTTATGACTACATTTGGAAAACAATTTAACTTCTAAGATTATGACTGTCCAAAGTTCCCAGATAACAACATCGCCAGGATGTATATAGAATCATAGAAACCTTAAGAATTAGAAAGGACTCTTTCAAAATCTCTTTCTGAAGCCTAATTTCACAGTGTGGGACACTAAGTCATATACAAGGTTACAGTGACAATGTTAGAATTTATCCATTGTTCAGTTCAATTAGAAGGGTATGTTTAGATAATTTGTTCTGTAGTTTTATGGATATGGTAATTAGATTGTTATGGTTAGTAGAAAACAGATTATCTTGGCTTTTCATTTAAAAATTAAAGGATTATGCTCTCATATTGTTGCTTATAATTTTCTCCAAACTATGTATTTATGACAGATCTCTGAGTTATGGTGCTATAGGAGTAATTGTTGGGCATGAATTTACACATGGATTTGATAATAATGGTAAGTACCAGTTCATTTTGTAAGCTGCTGTTTTTATAGCAATGCTGACTATATGGGTATTAATTGTTGCTATTATCTTTCATAGCACCATCTTTATAGACTGAAGATTATACAAAGCAATATGATTGCCGATTGAAAACTTTCCTCCATCTCTTGCTATAACAAGTAAACAATTATTGTAATAAGTAAACAATTCCTGTTAGTGATTGAGTACAATTTAAAAAATGACTTTATATTTTCAATGAAATTAAGTTTCCTTTTAGATCAGGATTGCTGCAGTTACCACAGTAGTTACAGAGATTGCGTTATCACTTCTCTATTTTGTCATTTTTTTTGATTCACCATCTTGAGATGTTCTTCCTGGAGGTGTGAGTTCTGCCCCAAAGATGACTGTACGTGCTGCACTGCCAAGTTAGGCCTCTGGAGCTTGGCTGACTGGTTCTTTTTATGCAATTTCAAGGATTACACAATGCTTAACCTCTATTTTTCTTTTTTTGGTTTTTCTCCGGTACCGGGAACCGAACTCACGACCTTGCGCTTGCCAGGCAGGCGCTTTTGCCGCTGAGCTAAATCCCCAGCCCCTCTATTTTTCTTTATATTAGCCTATATTCGAATTGGTTTTAAAAAGGCTATACTTTCCTAATCATGCACAATATGTAATATACTCTGTATCCTTATATGGTTAAGCAAAAGAACATAATAGAGCCTAAACTAAAGAAATGATTGCCTTTGAGAGTCCTTGTTTTTAATCAGCACTCCTTTAACTTTGGACTATTATTGGAAAACCACAGAATCCTCTGAAGCTTATGAATTAACAGTGAATTATTATCACATCTCCATCCACACAGTGATTTATAGGCTGCCTCAAGAACCCAGCTGACCCAAGACAATATTGTCTTAAAGGAGATCTCTTTCTCTCATGTATGTAGTATCAAGTATGATGCTGACTCCTGGGCCAGAGATCCTTGGGGCTCTTTCTTCTTGTCATTTCTTCCTGCACCCGCCATTGGCCTTTAAGCACATAGTGTTTTGCTCCCCTCTGTAAAATGTTGCTGTCTTGCAGTCATCTGACTCCCCAGAGCTAGACTCTACCTTTGAATGTTTGATTTATCTGAGGAGAGTTCTGACTAAGAAAGAAAAGCAAGTGGTGCTTGTCTTAGTTACTTTTTATCACCAGAACACAGCACCCAACACCCACAACTAAAAGGAGGAGAGGTTTATTTTGGCTCACAGTTTCAGGGTATATGGTCCTAAGGCTGGTTCCAAGGCAGAAAAGGCATAGTAGCAAGGTGTGGTGGGGGGAAAGCTGCTTACGTTATGACAATCAGAAAGCAGAAAAAGAAGAGAGGAGCTGAGGAGGGAAATATACCCTTCCAGGTCATTTCTCCAGTGACCCCTCTCCAGCCAGGCCTTATCTTCTAATAGCAAATAAGCTATGAATGCATTGGTGGCTTAATCCACAGTTGAGTGTAGCACTCCCAGGATGCACTCCCCTTCCAAATACTCCACCCTGAACACAGGAGTTCTTGAGGGGATATTCTAGATCTACACCATAACGGTGTTCAATGGTTTCTGAACCTTTCCTCCTAGGAAAGTTAAGTAACATTCTCCCATAACACCATCTGGAGGCCTTCTGGCATCTCCCCCGTATAACAGAATTTAATGATGGCAGGTGGTGACTGCTTGTTACAGTATTCCAGGCAGTGGTGGCACTAACATGCACCCTTGCTGGAGAGCTTTGGGTTGTTCCAGTCAATGTCTTTGCACAGGGGGCTTTCCTCTAAGCTCCTTCTTGTAAACTTTCCTTCTTAGGAAACTGTTGCTTAGGGCGCATTCTTGTAGATTCTTTGCATAATTAAATTTAATGCATGCCCCTGACTCCAGTTGTAACCTTGAATATAGAAGATAGTCTGGATACACCCAAACTACTGTTCTGAAGGTTGTACAGAAAATGAAAAGTGAGTGAGCGAGTAGCAAGAAATCATGTATAACTAATCTTTTCTCCCCATTGTGTTCTGGAGATTTCCATTATTGTTCCAAGTTCTCTTTTTAGATCAACCATCCTTGTCTAAGGAGGACAGATGGGTCTTCCATCCACACTGATGACTATGGAATGATTCATAACAGAGGTTTTATGTGTCTCTTGGCTCCTGGCAACTTGGAGGAAACAGATTCCTATACGGCTGAGTCAGGGTGTATGGTCCTATGGTGTGGATGACTCACTGGGGTCTATTCCTATGGATTGTTTGGAATTTCACTGGCAGTCATACTCTGGCTTTCTCCATGGGCTTCTTGAATGAAGCCATTTTATTTTATGATCCAGAGAACATTTCAGGTCAGATCAGGTAAAATCATAGAATCCAAAATTGGATAAGACTGGTGCATATATTAAACTGATGAATCTCATTGACCCTCAGAAGGAAAGAACTTCCTCAATCCTTTCCTTCTTTTTTCCTTTTTCTACAATTAACCTGTGACACTGGACAGAATGCAGGAGCCATTCTCGGGAAGAGCGTTCCCTGCACTTGTGACTGCATTTTGAAAGTTTGTCCAGAGGAGGGAAGAGAAAAATAAATACTTGCATTTCCACAAATAATACAAATGTTTCTTAACTTTCCTTTTTGCTAGGTAGAAAATATGATAAAAATGGGAACTTAGATCCTTGGTGGTCTATGGACTCAGAAGAAAAGTTTAAAGAAAAAACTAAGTGCATGATTAACCAGTATAGCAACTATTATTGGAAGAAAGCTGGCTTAAATGTGAGTATGACTGTATTAAGGGGCCATCTTGTGGGACATTTTTTCCTTATTTGGATGTTTGCTTCCTTTAGATCACTGGTTTTCAAAATGGGCTTCTGAGATCAAGGACACTGGCCTTCCCCGGGAACTTGTTATAGATGCAAGCTCTTCAGTCTTACACTATACCCACTGAATTAGATTTTTTATAGGTGCAACCTGATAATCTGGAAGTCTTTTCACAAGTCCTCGGAAGATTCTGAGATAAGCTGAAATTTGAGAATCATGGACCTTCGTATTAGTTTGTTTTCCAAGATTCAGATTGATGCCAAAAATGCTGTAGCAGAAACAGTCACAGTCATAGAAATATCTTATTCTACATATCATTTTTAAAAATTTCCATCCAAACTACTCCTTAGGTTTACTTCATTGACATTAAACCTCATTAATTTGAACGAACAAATCTGATAATTAATTAGGAGTTCTTAGTCACACAAATTTGAGCAAAAGAAATATATGTTTTAAAATGTGTATTTTCTATTACATTTTTATGTATATAATTTTATATAAAGGCATAAATGCAATTTGATACATGCTTTTGGTGGGTGAAATTTTGTTCCTTTCCTCCTTTGCCTTCTTCTCCATCTCCTTCCCTCATTCCTTCTAACATTTTACTTTCCCTGCCTATAATCAGTGTTAATAACCCTGATCCATTTTCCCCATGCTCATACAGACACACAGAGAACGTTAGTGGATAGTTTCCAATGGCTTTCTAGGAGTCCCTGATGTGAATGTACTATCACATAGTCAACTAATCTCTTAAGGGGTCACATGTTCCAATTATAAACATGGATGCAATAAAAACCTTCCTTATATACATATTCTTTTTCCCCACAGAATAGATCCTGGCTGTCACCAAAAGTTATAAAACTCCCTATTTTCCCAGGTGATACATGAAACAATATTTATCCGTTGAGTTATTTTCTTGCCAATTTATGACACACTTTTAAAATAGTACAGATGTTAAAATTTTGCCTATCATTTCTATGTATTTTTCCTCAAATATATTACTCATTCTTTACACTGTGTGTACACTATCTTTCAACCTACAAAATTTGAGCATTTTTATAAAATCTAAAACACTTCTGTCTCTTAAATAACTTCTGTGTTTCCATTTTTGGCCATGAAGATGTCCCCAATACCTGTATATGGATTCCTTTATCTTTTCTGAGGATTTTATTGTTTTATTATTTTACATTTAAATTTTCATGCATGTGAAATTCTATGGGGTTTAATATGAGAGGTTCCTTATATGTTTTCCCAAAAGGATAACCAGTTCATCCACAATCGTTGTTTGAAAGAAAGTTTTTTCTCCCTGAGAAAAATATTTGTCAGAAACTAGTATCCCATAAAAATATAAAATAGAATAGTGGGCACTAGAGGCTGGGAAGAAAGGAGGGAAAGTTGAGTAATGGGTAGTTAGATAAGAAGAGAAAGTTTATATGTTTTGTTACACAGTGGGGTGACTATAGCTAACCATAATGCATTGTATTCCTAAAAAGAACCAAAGGAGAGAATTTTGAATATATTCATCATGAAGAAATGATGAAGTTTAAGGTGACAGATATGCTAATTACCATGATTTGATCACAACACTTTGTATCTAAATACCACATTTTACCCCATAAATATGTATAGATATTATATGTCAAGCAAAAAATAAATTATTTGGGTTTATGAACATGGGCAAGTGACACATATGTGAAATGAGTAAATATTTCTGAACTCTAGTTAGTTGTAGGAATTAAATGAGGGGAATAACAAGCAAAATGCCTGCCATGCAGGAAGTACTCAGTAAAAGATTTTTAATATTCCTGATCCTGTGTGGCATACTCATAGGTACCACACTCCAGGAGAAAATAAAGTGAAGAATTTGGGGCTGAACAAATGATAGAAGAGCAGTTTTCTTAGAGGAGGAAAATCCATATTTCCTTATGATTATTATCTGTAGACATGGGAATTAGGCTTTTCACTTTACTGAAATAAATGCAACCCTTACACTGGTCCTGGAAGGTATACGTCTCATTAGGTATATGTATTTTACATATGAGGAAGTTGAGGCTCAGAAATTAATGGCCATGGTAGAATCTAGAATAGAGTTTAGATCTGTGTGCCTCCAGAGTACATATTCCCCTCTCCCATATATTATACTCTGGTTCTCTTGTTTTCAGTTCATTTTATACCTGGGTGATGTATAAGTAGACATTTCCTCAGCATCCATTTTCCCCAAAGTGTCATATACTGAAACTTAATTCTGACAAATATGTACCTTTGTTACAAGGACTACAGAAAAGGCATTCCTGTCTCAGCATAAGTCTACTCAACCATCAGAAAACTGCTCCAGTCTCATTCCCAAAGGAGTGTGGGTGGCTGCCTTAGTGGCCATAGAGGGCCATGCTTTAGTTTTCTGGCTTTGTGAGAGTAAGTTCTCTGTGCCTGAAGTATTTGCGATGGTAAATTAGGAGCAGCTTGGATGGGGTACTGCCGATGCCAACTGTCAGCAGGTGTTCAGCGCCTAGGCCAAGTCTAGGGCTTTCTGCTTTACTGACATGGTCCAGAGTGTGAGGAATCAGAGAAATGGGGCTATTCCTAAGCCCTCTAATTTAGACATAAAGCTTAGGATAAAGATGAAGGAGATAGATTCAAGTACGAGTGGATATAGACATAAACATCAGAAACCAGTTGGAGTCAATACTTGAGAAGGTACATAATATCAAACAAAGACCCTAGCGACAGGTGGCCTTGGGTTTGAATACCTGAGAAATGTGAACAGTTCGCTTAATCACTCTGTCTTAGGTCAGGATCACTAGAAGCATAGCCCAAGAAAGGCTGCCTTAGGTCAGTGCTTTACTGAGGAAGTAGTTTGATGAGAAACCTAAAAAGGACTCAGGAAAGCATATTGGTTTCAGAAAAGTTAAGCCTTACCCTGACCCCACAGAGCGTTCTGGAACATGAAGCGCAGCATAGAAACTATTCAGTCCTAAGAAGGGGGTGGGATTTCCATGATCTCCATGGTGACTCCTGTAAACCAAGGTCAATCTTCCTAAGGTGATAGCAGTTGGTATAAAGGGGGATCCGGTTAGGTACCAACAATATCTGCTACACATTCAGTTTTAGAACCTCACTTATTAAACAAGGACGGTGACAGTAATACTTCCCTCATAGGTCTGTAGTAAAAAAAAGAATGTAAAACAGGAATGGTAACTTTGGGGAACTAAAGCTAGGGAGGGTCCTTGGTGATTACAATAAATAATGTTTACCAAAGACTCATTTTTACCTCTTGATAGTTCTTGATACCTGTGCAATTAAGCTAGCTTGAAAGTAAACAGTTGATAGGCTCCATGGCTTGAAAGTTTAGAGAGGAGGGTATTATTTTCTTGTTGCTGCCATAACAAATTACTGTAAACTCGGTAGGTCAAAGCAACATAAATTTATTATCATACATTTCTGTATGTCAGATACCTGGTACAGTCCTCAGTGGCCTAAAATGAAGATGTTCACAGGGCTCTGTTCCTTTCTAGAGGTACTAGAGGAAAACCTGTTTCCTTGCCTTTTGTAACTTTTGGAAAACTTCGTAGCTGCCCACATTCTTTGGCTTATGGTCTCTTCTTTCTTCAAAGCCAGCAGTGGCTGGTGGAGTCCTTTCACTTTGCTTTATCCTGCCATTCACTCTCTTGCCCCCCTTTTCCTCTTATAAGGTACCTTGCAATCACATTGATCTCACTTGTATAATCCAAGATAATACCCCCCTCTCAAGATCTTTGATTTAATCATATTTTAAAAGTTGCCATTGTAAGGTAACATGTTCAGAAGTTTTAGGAGTCTGTATGTAGACACTTTTGGGAGGCCATTATTCTGCCTGATATATGGAGGTTTGCAAATTTTTCTGTAAATAATTTAGGCTTTGTAGGTTATATTGTTTAAATTGTAACTGCTAAACTCTGCCACAGTAACGAAAGAGCAACCACAGATAGTGTGTTTATGAATGGGCGTGGCTTTGTCCCACAAAACTTGATTTATGTCCACTAAAATTTGAATATAATAATTTTTATCAGCTACAAAATAGTATTCTTCTTTTGATTTTTCCCCAATCATGGAAAAATGTAAAATACACTCATACCTTGCAGTCTATACAAGAAAAAGTAGTTGGTTGGCTTTGTTTAGTGAGCTGTATTGATTTAGAATAGTTTTGTCTTAGCTCATTTAAGGTTTTAAGAAATAGTTTTCAAATGCTGGGAAGCATTTCTTCACCATGCTGGGCTGGATGTCATACATATTGCAAAACTTGACCTTGCAGTCTATACTATTTCTGTTTGACTTTTTTGCCCCAAGAGGGCTACCCTCCTTTTAATTTTTCATGGAAATTGCTGAAGGTAAAATGATAATGGCTGATCTTGAAATCTTGTTCCTGTGCAGATGGTAAATTTTTTGGAAAACAGAGACACAGAGTTAATACTCAAATTATATGAGTTAACCAGAGAAAGTAATATGTGTGTTGACATTTCTATTTTTCCCCCCATTAAACCACAGTCACTCAAAATATTGCTAATATTTTATCGGAGCAGAAAGAATTCGTGAGAATAAAGAAAAAGGTGAGAAAGTACTGTGTAGCATAGTAAAATAGAAATTATTATATTCAGGAGCACATTACTGGGGTTAGTTTGCTGTCTCACAATATATTATGACTACCTCTGATTTACTGAATGTAACTTTGTCTTTAAAATATGACACTTTTGCTTGCTATAATAGTTATGTCTCAGGGCTGGGGATTTAGCTCAGCGGCAAAGCGCCTGCCTGGCAAGCGCAAGGTTGTGAGTTCGGTTCCCGGTACCGGAGAAAAACAAAAACAAAAACAAAAAAAATAAAAAAATAAAAAAAAATAGTTATGTCTCTTGCTGAATGATAGTTGACCATGAAACATTCTTTTCTTCTTTTTTTTCCTTTCTGCTAGGTGAAGGGGAAGAGGACTCTGGGAGAAAACATTGCCGATAATGGAGGTCTGAGGGAAGCTTTTAGGGTATGCACTGTTACATTTGTTAGAATTTTAAAAATCAAAGTATAAAATTCTATATGGATGCTTACTAACACCACGGAGATGCTGTAGAGAGTTGAATATTCTAGAATATTTGTAAGTGGAATTGTATTACCCCATTGATTCTATTGCACCCTCATATAAATAGGGGTACATATCTTTCTTTTCCTTTTTGGGATACAAGGTCACCTGACATAATAATATTTGTTTTTAAGGATCACGTATTTAAGGGATAGTTTTCAGAAAATACTCTCACAATCATATCAAAGCATTCTACAGAAATCTCCTTGGGGCTAGGTACAAATGAGTTTTCCTTGTATACAGTTCTCTCTATATCCTGCATTATAATGTTCTCTTAAAATACCAAGCTTCTAGATTATGGCTAGAGGCAGGTGGTTTCCATATACTGGTCCTGGTAAGAGTCCATAGTAGTGTTTTCATCATCTCTTGCTCTGTGGTTAAGCAGGATATTTCATAAAGCTAAGTGTATTCACTTTAAAGTCTAAGTTATTATTCCAAGGTTATAGCCTTTCTGCATTCTAGTCCAAATACATTTTGTTTTATAAAATCATGGTGACAGAAGATGGTAGCTTTTCACATGAGTTGGCAAAATAGAAAATGGATATGTTGATCCAAAACTGTATTCCTATAAGGGCCTTACTATAGTGTTAGGTTTGTTTATCCCATTATGGAATCATTTGGAAAAAGTTTTTTTTTTTTTTTTTTTTAAAGCTTCTCTGACGCTTATTGAATGTAACGCCTTTTGGCATGTGCCCCTGTCTCACTGGTAAACAAAAGGGCATTGACTTGCATTTCCAGGTGTTTGCTTTCTTAAGGGAAAACTTGACTGTGCATTTAGTACGTGACAGGAGTGTATATGTAATATGTCTGCTCTGTATAAGAAAATAGAGAAACCATCGTTACAGAGACTCAACTATTTTGCTTTTTTCTTTTTAACCAGGCTTATAGGAAATGGATTAATGACAGAAGGCAGGGCGTTGAAGAGCCTCTCTTACCAGGAATCACATTTACCAACAATCAGCTCTTCTTCCTGAGTTATGCTCATGTGAGTAGACAGAGGGAGGCGCATCAGAGATGGAATGTGGGGTGTTAGCTTACACCCTGGATTAAAGGTTTGGAACAAAAGTTTAATAGGATGACTTTGATTTTAACTAAAATTTTATCTGGTTGATTATTTTCAGGATAAATTCCATCTTTTAAAGTTCTGTAGGCCATAATTAATTCCCCAATTAAACGGAGGTTTATTGGTGTTTTTTTAATTCAGTAGGTTACCAGCACTGTAAACTCACTTGATAGTTCTTCAGTATATCTTGGCTTCTTAATGTATTCAATACTATGCATAACCATTTCTAATAACTTACTCTTTGGCTTTCCTCACCCTGCCCTTTCTGATATTTCTTTTTTCCTTTGCTTTACTGCTTTATACCATCACTCAACATGTGGCTGGGTTCCCAACTGTCAAACAAATATTTCTACTGGAGCAGAAAAGGGAACAACAGAGGAATAGAGAGTCATGCCATTCTTTTATGAGTCTGACATGTTCTTGCAGCACAGATTAAAACGAAGATGTGAATTAAGTAAGGTACAGTTCTGAATTTGAGGCTCTGGATAATGAGGCCAGTACCAATTCTTTGTTATTCATTATTGCACTGGCTTATGTCACAAATATCTAGGCAACATTTCCAAAGGAATGGGCAATGATGGGCAGATAAAGGTTCTAATGCATGATCTCACAGTGGGCAAATGCGTATGTACATGGTCAAAACTAGAGGAGTTTTCATCAGTACAATTTTGTGTTCTCAAGTCTTTCTATGCATTACTTTGCAAGCTTATTCATCCCTAAGTCTTGTATAATCATTTCTGGTTAAGGGATTCTCATCTGTGTGGGGTCCCTTATTTCTTAAAGCTGACAGGACAATACCAAGCCAATTATCAATGATCAACCTGTTGTAAACAAAATGGTAGCTATACACAAAATGATTTTCCTTTTCAGTTTTCCTATCAATGTACCCCAGTCTTTGGGTCTTTATGATTAGAAAGCCTGGATTCTTGAGTCTCGATTGATTTACTATCCTCATTTTTATGGCACTTATCCCCAAAGCTAGATGTTTCATCTTTTATATGCTTTATAGATGCAGCCTCTCATCCCCTGTTTTAAGCAGCCTAGGCCACTAATACAGCACCATAGACTGGGCTGGTTTTTAAGAGCAGAAATTTATTTCTCAGTTCTGGAGGCTGGAAGTCTGAGCCCAGGGCTCCTCTAGAGTTGGGTTTCGGTGAAGGTTCTCTTCTGGACTGCAGACTACTGACTTCTTACTGTGTCTTTATGTGGTGCAAAGAGCTAAGTAGCTCTCTGGCCTCTTATAAATACAGGCACTAATCCCATTCATGAGGGCCCCACTCTCAGGACCTAATCTCCCAGAGTTGCCACTGAAATACTATTTCATTAGTGATCCTCCAAAAGATTCCCAAATGTCTGCCACTTTGAGTCCAAACACCTCCACTGGGCTTCCAGTATTCTCAGTCTGATTGTCTTTATCTGATTCACTTCAATTTCCCACAGATCTGTTAGATGAGAAAAATTCAACCTTACCAGGAAGCTCTCCTTGCCTCCACCCCATGATGCTATTCTGTTCATTACTATCTCTGTGGCTTTGCTTCTGATTAGCGTTTTATAATGTGTTCCCCTTCCTACTTAGCCCCTCATATTATTCAGTTCTAGCTTCAACCCCATCAAGATTTGTCTCTTCTACGTCTACCACAAACTTCCCCAAGGACTCCAGTCCTCATTATTTTCTTTTATCTCAATCTCCTTTTACACTAAGCCTTCCTTACCACACAGCTAAGCACTTAATTGCTTTCAAAATGTTCAAGATTTTCATTTTTTTCTCCTCAGCTGATCTGAATCCTTACACTTCCTCTGTATCTCTGTAGCACCCAGCAAAGATGCATATACATTGTATATACTTGGTATTTTTCAATCAATTGCTTGAAAAAGACTAAGACTAACACAATTCAAAGAAGGGGACTTCCCGTTCAGTCAGCACTGGGTCAGATATTAAAATAAGCACACCCACAAAAATAAAACTTCCCAGAGTTGGAGTTGGCAAACTGAGGCCAAGGAAGGCCTGCTATCTGTTTTGTAAATTATGTTTTAATGGGCAACAGCCCCATTCTTTCACCTATGTATAGTCTGTCTAGTTTTTCTTAAAAGGTGGCAGAGCTGATTAGTTGCAGCAGGGATCTTGTGGTCTTCAAAGCCTAAAGTGTTTACTATCCGTCTTCTTGCTATTCACCTCCTCGTCCATAATATCGCTCCATAGATTAAAGAAACTAATTGGCAGTGATGTTATATCTTTAAAATGTTTCCACATATGATATCAAACAGTATCTGACCTATTTTTTTAGTATCAGAAATATGTAACTATTATCAGTTATCTGGCCTATTTTAAACTAAAGATATTTAGAAAAATTGGAAAGATGTTTTTATCACTACTGATAAATTTGTCTTTGAGATTTCCCCACTGACAGAGTGGAAGTTTCAATCTTTTGCAAATTGGAATAAGTTTGCATGTATGGAATAAACTGAATTTCCCTCCTGGGAAAGTACTAGGGAGACAGCAATAACCACAATATGTTTTCAAAAATCTCTTAATTGACACATAAAGCAAAGACAATACTCTATTATAGTACAAGAACATAAGTAGAAATAAGAACAATGAAGTAAAATAGAATACTGAAAACAAGTTCACATTAGCTGACTTCTGAGGAAATTAAGGAATCACATTACAAAAATGTCTTCAAAATCAAATTCGGCAGCACAGTGACTGTTAACTTCATCAAAGACAGTAGCATTATCTCACGTTGCCTGTTTCCTGTATCCCTGCCATTGCTGTGATCTGTCAGTTCCTTTTCTCAGGTGTCCTTCTCATTCTTCTACTTCTTTCCATTTCCATTTCTACCTGTTTAGTGGGCATTCACTGCCCATAAATAATTTTCAAATGAGTCTAATTTCCTCCTCCTACCATACCCTCTTGCCAGATAACTCTTTGAAAAATATAGATTTTATTTTCCTGCTCAAAACTATAGTTTAAACATTTTGGCCTGTTGCTCAAGACTTCAAAAATCTTGTTCCATCCTTTCTCTACCCTGATCATTCACTGCTGCTCATTATACCCATGTATTCCAGCCAAGCTGAGTGTCTTGCCTTTTCACTCCTTAATCATTTTCTCATTTGTCCTTCCCCTTAGATTATTCCCCCATATTCATGGGTCCCAGTGTCTTAGTTACTTTTCTCTCATTGCTGAGACCAAATACCTGATGCCCGGAATTAAGGAAAGAAAGCTTTATTTTGCTCACAGTTTGTGGAGGTTTCAGTCTATACTTGGCTGGCTCCAACGAAGAGTGGCACATGGCAGAGGGCAACAGTTCATGGCAGTGGAAAATAGCAAAAGCACAAAGAGCAAAAAGGGAGGAGCTATAAGAGCAAGCCTCTTTCTCTCCCTTATATTGTATGCAGGCTACCCGCCCCAGGATGGGTGCAGCACTCACACCCATAACCCCAGCACTTGACCATGAGTCAATCATAAACTCTAGAAGCCCGCCCCATGATTGCCTGAAGCTTTGGGGGGACATCTAGACACAAACCATAGCATCTACTTATATTCATATTTCAGTACCATGTCATATTTCACAACATATCAAGTCAGGATTACGCAGGTTATACTGCAGAAAAAAAAAAACAACACAATGAAATGTATTCCTTGTTCACACATGGATTAGCAGTGGGGCTTTGCCTATAGTTTTTATTCAAGGGCCTGTGCTTTGGAGTTTTATCTTAAGAGGTACTTCCATGGTCACCACAGGAATAAGAAAGAAATATGAAGAAATGTGCATTGACCCTTAATATAGGGTCTTAAATTGTTAGTAAGGCCCTTAAAACATCAGTCAACTTTTTTGAGCTTCTGCCACTAAGTGACATTTGTCAGTTCTTCTCACATTCCTTTGCTCAGAACAAGTCAAATAAATATGCCTAATACGAAAAGAGATGCAGAAGTATACTCCTGTTCCAGGAGCAGGCTAGCGTGAGGCAAGTGGGCACTCAGGAAGCAAAACAGTAACTTCGCATAACCATACTCAGTTGTTAAGGTAAATTTAATAAGAGCTATTTAAAACATTAAATTAATTGAATACATACACTGTTCAATTCCTGGGCACATATATGATTCTCTTGATTTAAAGCACTTGTCCAAAAGCCTTCTTAATTTATTCAAATTGTGGAATTATCCCCATTGATAAAACTATCTAACCTGGGGATTAGAATAATAGATGTTACTACTGAGGAAGGTTTTCTCTGACCTACTAAAACTGTTTGTCATCCACTGATTATAAAATTATCCTTCAGTATTATTTGGAACAGTTAAGAAAGTGTAAAAGCTGTAATTGGTGTGGAGTCATATTTACTGGGATGCCTTTCTCTTTCAGGTGAGGTGTAATTCCTACAGACCGGAAGCTGCCAGAGAACAAGTCCAAATTGGTGCTCACAGCCCCCCTCAGTTTAGGTAAATGATCCAATGGGTGACACCAGTGTTTAACTGTGCCTCCCCCTCATTCCCCTACCCCAATGACCTCAGTGTTCTACCAGATAGGCGGTGTGTACAAAAGCCTGGATTGTGAACCACAAGATCTTGCTTTTGCACACAACAGAATCTGGCTGTACAGAAACTAGCATCTTTTCTTTTATTAGAACTGATTTACTCAGTATTTTTTCAACTAAATTTCTGCTGACAGGCGCTAGTAACATTTCTAGTTTTGTTTCACATCAAGAGATATGTGAGGGGCTGGGGATTTAGCTCAGCGGCAAAAGCGCCTGCCTGGCAAGCACAAGGTCGTGAGTTCGGTTCCCGGTACCGGAGAAAAACCAAAAAAAAAAAAAAAAAAAAAGAGATATGTGAGACTCCAAAAGTAACTTGGAATCCAAATCATAGTTTTAGTATTAAATTCCATTTATTATCTTCTACTTGTTGAAAGGCAGTAATTGGCAGATGCTGGGTGCTCAAAAAACTGGAATACTCAATTTACCTAATTTTTTTCCTTCTGTCTAGGCTAACAAATAGATTTGTTCGGAAGAGTATGTGATCTGATGTACTCTTTTTAAAACACTCAGAGCTCAGGTTTATTTCATATAGAAGAATACGTTATTTAATACCTCCTTTTTTCACACAGCTAACAAACATAAATGAATGCCTGTTTTTCTGAATAGCTCTAAACACAAAGGAAGATATATGGTGATATTTAGTAATTATAATTCATATCCTTGAGTCAAGGACATTACATTTGGCTTTTACTTTGCACCATGTTTTGAAATAATTCTTTATATATGAAGGGGAAAAGATTATGAATTACAGTCTTAATTGTCAGAATGTATAAAATACAAACAAAAGTAAAATTTCAGTTGATATTACTTACCCTGTGCTGGGATCTATAGCTTGAGAGACATTTTCTATAGAAGAGAATAGATAATTCTAATGAGACATTCAAGAAATCATAATAATTTATTGTTATTTATTACTTGCTTAGAACATATTAACCTGGATATCTTTGCATTTAATATTTAAATGAACCTATTAGCATAGTGAAAGAAAGGCATCTAAAATTCTTTTATATTTTAAAATCTTATTTCTAAAACCTTGCCTTAGAAATGCTTCAAAAATTGCCTATAAATTACCCACTAGCATAAAAATCTAATCAGTGTGTTGGAAATTCTCCCCCACTGGGATAAACTGTCATGAAGGCTGACAGTTTCTAATGGACTAAAACATGCTTTCACTGACAAATGGTGCACAAGAAACCACACAGTAGATTAATTACCCAACAGATAAGTTTTTAGAAACTAATTTCTTTTTACTAACTAGTTGCCTATAATGTCAGATTTTAGCTGAGAATTTACAGAGTATGCTTACTAATTATCAGCTCCATTCTATCTTTAACACTTGCCTAGGGTGAATCACACTATGAAATATACATCGCTATCCATATATCCCAGCTAAAACACAAGAGGTTATGAGGATTTGGTGGATATAGGCCATTACATTCATTCAAATGCCCGTAGGTAACAAAGTCATTAGAGAAGTAATCAGTGACTGAGTGCTGAATTTACAGCATTCTCTAGTCAACCCTTTGAATGTACAGTTGAGTAAGAAATAGATGAAGGACAATTTTTTTTGCCTGAGTTGTTACTGATATCTACAGTAACTACAGATTTTGAGTGTGGTCAAAAATCACACAGTGGAAATATCACTTCCAAAAGGCAGTTACAGTCAAAGTGCTGAGTAGGAATTCGCAGTCTTTATTTCAGTGTGGAACTTGCAAGAACAACCAGAGTTTAGAGATAAACTTCAGTGAAGAATTACTCATCTGTAACAGCTAGACATTATTCATTAGTTGATTGTTGCATTAACTAAGTTCTAGATAAATGTGAACCTCTAAATCTAATGGGAATTTAGAGAAAGTGCTTTTTCTAGATAGATTGAATGGACTATTTAAATATAGTTGGAAATGCAGCAACATGAATGACTCTTACAGACACTGTATTGAGGGAAAGAAGTCAAAGACAGAAGACTATGAACTACAAACTCTTCCATTCACATGAGGTTCAATGGCAGGCAAAGTTATGGTGATAGAGGTCACAATAGTAATTTTCTTCAGAAACACTATTGGTAGGGGACAATGTGGAAGACTTTGGGGTTCTGGAAGTATCCTATGTCTTGATTTGAGTGTTAGTAACATAGTTATACATGGAAAAATGCGTGATTTCTGCATTTAAGATGCACAGTTTATGCCAGTTATACTTTCAACAAGAAAGTTAATTTTTAAAAAATGTTTAAAGAATATTGAAAGAGTAATAGGAGGATATACTTGGCATTCAGGAGATGCCAGCTCTAGTCTCAATGCTGTTAATTTTTTGGGAAATTAATGATTTGAGGTTTTGGTTATGTTTGATAACAGATTAAATGTATGCCAGGATCTTTTCTAGCATTATACTGTTATAGTCTCATCTTTTGATGCACATGAATTAAATAACTATGTTTTGCCATATCTTTTCTTCAGGGTCAATGGTGCCGTTAGTAACTTTGAAGAATTTCAGAAAGCTTTTCATTGTCCACCTAATTCTACAATGAACAGAGGTGCAGACTCCTGCAGACTGTGGTAGCTGGAGATTTGATTTCTGCCATCCTGAGACAGCTACCTGGTGCCAGCAGAGGCAGCACTTCCTCATCACCCACTACTTGAGGCCTATATTCCTCTGAGACCTTTTATATTTAGTGGGTGTTCTTTATTTGGGTAGATAACTTGCTTGGCTTTAAACAGTATCTGTTCAGAGTCATAGGGCTTAAAAAGGGAATACATGAAATGAATCAAGTATGTTTCTTTAGAAAACCAAACCAACAAAAAATAAACCCCTAGGCTACTTTTGTTAAAAGGTGATCTACTGAGTTGTTGTTATTGTCCATTTTAGTGTGTTAGCCACAGCTAGGTGGTACATACCAATTCAGTCTATAGCTTTGCATGATGCCTACATAGAATGTGACCATAAAAATGTTCAGTCCATTAAACTTCTAATCCTCAACAATGACAACTTGTGTATGAACACTTGGAATGCCTTACTCTCTGTGGAACACAGTGCTAGATTTATTTCATGGATAGACATTTTACACTATTTCTAAACTCTAAGATAGTTAACTAAGAAATATGTTGATCTGTATTTTACAATTTTAAATGACTTCAGCTTTGGAGTCTACTGGAGTAAAAATGTACCTTATATCTTGCAGCTGATACCATTGATTGCCCTGTGTAAGTCAGCATGGAGAAAGATGGCAGAAAGTGTTAGGTTAAGGGATTTGAGTTTATCAACTAGGAAAGAAGGGAGGATATCATTAAGTCTCAGAAGAAGTAAAAGCTCCTACTCATACAGCAGGGAAACTAGGGGATGAAATACTCACAAGTTTTTTCTAGTTGTATGTACCTCAGCGATCATCTGTCTGCTGGACACTGTTCTGCGGCCCAGTTTCTGTTTGTTTCATTACTCTTGCATGTGTGAATTCTGCTCCTTATGCAATGAGCAGACATTGAAAAAAGAATTTTCTGATTTCCCATTACGATCATGTGGCTTTCATTTGCTTTTAGTGCAAAGGGGTAAACAATGCATCGAGGAGGGAATAAATGCCCTTTTATTAATGCTGCATCTCATTAGGAGAAAATTGTTTTAAAAATTCTTGATTGAAGAAACTTCAGAATATATTGATTCAATTTAGAATTCCCTGCATATGGAATACCATTTTTTATGTTTAAGTCTGTTAAAGATTCTGTATGAAAGAACAGTACTATGTGTTTGATCTTTAGAGCACTATCTTTTTAAGTGAAGCTCTCTCTCTTTTAGCATGTGGATGTATGTGTTAGATAAAATTCTAATGGCATTAAAGTAGTTACCTGGCATTCTCTGTTTCTTAATATAGGCAATCTCCCCCCCCCCCACAAACCATTATTCATTGTGTATGAGGTGCTGGGTTAAGTGGGCCGATAGGAAACTCTCAAAAGCAAAATGACAAATTCAAACTAACTACAGGAGTTTGTTTTACATCCGTATGACTTGTCATTTAAAAAAATGTAAGTAAGTGCCTGTCCTTTTGTAACCATGGGAACTTCTGAGGGGAGAAAAATTGAGGGGCACCATCATGAGGAAAACAATTATACTACATTAGTCAGAGGAGAGTGATTTTCCCCTTGACTTCCTCCTCTCCAAACGGATAAACTTCTGAAGGGCAGCTACTTTTACCTCCTATTAGCCATGGCTTTATGTGACCTTAGTTTGTATTTCTAAAAACAAACAGTATTGGGTCAAGGGTGCTGGAAATATATGTGCCTTTTATCCAGAGTAAGCATCTGGCTTGGTTTAGATACAAAACATAGTCCCCCCTCAACATGTGGGCACTTAAAATTATTCCAGGTTTGTCATGCTTATATGAATAGTGTTTTGCTTCCAGGTTTCTTTTTTAAACTCAAAATAAACACATTCCTGCAGGCCAGAGAAAGTGTTTGATAAAAGCATAGAATTATGACTTTGGAAATAAAACTCATTAACTCACTTGGTCCAGGAAAACTGATTCTGCATGGCAGGGTTACCTTGTCCTAATTAACGTGACTTGCTGTAACTTTGTCACTGAAAGTTACACACACGATGGTGATTATTAAAACAAGCCCAAAGTGGCAATACTGAATCATTATCACTAGCTAGAACAATTTTCTAGAAGCATTGGATTTCCAAGTGCTCATGTTTAACTGTTCAAATTACAGTCTGCTCGTCCTTCTCTTCAATACAGATTGCTATAAGAAAGAGACACTGATTAACTGCTAAAGGGAGGAAGATAGATGCGCCTGGAAGGGAGGGAGAAGCTGGCCCAAGGATGTAGCATTGAAGAGAAGACAGAAATTTGGCAGTATTTGCTAAGCTTATCCACTGGAGGAGAGCCATGAAATTTTACAAAAGTAATTATGGTAAATTAAAAGGAAATTAGATATTAGATCTCAGACTAGAGATGCAGTAACATACTTCCCTGATTCATATACCAGATGTTCTGCCAGTGAACTACTATCTGGGCAATGCAAGGACTTAGCTTTTTGTGAAATGTTCCTGGATTTGTCAAGGATTCTCTCTATATAAAGTGGCATGTCACCATTGCCCGAAGTTTGCTGAGCTTTTTGCCAATTGCTCAGCACTGGCCTCCTATTTCCGTTTGTTTTCTCCTTTTATGAGATGGACTTGGACATGACTAATACAAGCTCAGGATTTATACATTACACTGCAGTTTATTTAGTGCCTTGCCTCAATGGAGCTTAAAGCATCGCACATAAATTTTATCTTATTTAGCCCTCGAGCATTACTAAGAAGCAACTAGGAGCCATGCCTTGCCAGACAGGTTATGCTCATAGCAGAGAAATAGAGAGACTTGACTTTTTGTCAAGGATCTCCGAGTCAGAAAATACAGAGGCTTTATGCTTTGGGCTACTGAACTTTAGATTAACTTTCATCACTTAGATTATCCTATTCCTCAATCCATTTATTCAGTCAGTATATCTATAATCATGTAGCCTTTGATAGACTATTCCTTTGATATTTTTAACGTAATACCTTCATTACTTTTTAAAACTATGGAATAATATATGACTGCTTCGTACAACAACATTATGATCACCAGTGGCAATACCCCACAGGTTTGAAGACAGATTTTCTTGGATTATGCATCTTTTATCTAAATGGTCATTGTGATACTAGTTTGGTTGTATTTTCTTCCCTTACTTGTAAAACAATGAGAACAAATATTTTAAGGACAATAAAAGTTGGTTGAAGACAGTCTGTTTCTCTTCTTTTTTCAAAAAGATACTAAAATATGCTAAATCTATGGACATTCAGTTCTGCTTTACACAAGATTTGCTGAAAGGCTATAGAAAGTACTGTAGTATGCTAACTTTCTCAGTTTAGGAAAGTGAGATTTGAATGCAATAACTTTCCCTGTAGACAATGATAGATTTGCATGGTGGTCATTATATTTTCTTCTACAATGTAAGTCAGCAGAGGATTATTGCTTTCCCAGTAGTATTCTTATTGAGGAGAAGAGATGCTTCTGAGGAAATTGTTGACTGTGATTGGGCTAGTCTCACAAAAGTGACCATGAACATTATAGATTCTATCAAGTCAAAGAATTTCTATATGCTCTCATACTCCCTTAAAATCCAGTCAATTTATAGTCTTTATAGTCTTTCACTCAGCACCCAGTAACTGAGCACCCATTACATTTAAATCACCAAACCAGCTATATTGAGGTGGATAGCATACAATCTCTGGCTTCAGAGAATGGTCTGGTCTAACATGGAAGGTGGATATGTAAATGGTTGTAATTATCCCACTGAGTGGTATATGATGATATATAAGTATTTTAGGGGTTGGGATACATAGAATGAATTAGTCAACTCTTTCCTGGTAGAAACTGTTGATGCTCCCTCTGCCCAGATCTCAGCAGAGCCCTTGGGCTGAGGGCCCCGATTCACATTCTCTGTGCTTTTATTTCTAATTGGCTTGACTCTAGATTCATTGTCCTCATAGGACTAAAGCTTCTTTGTCCAGTATATTTCAGAAAACTAGAAGGGCCAGATGATTCTGAGACAATGACTGAGTAGGAACAGGGCTCTGAGAAACTTCAGTATCTTGCCTGAGTCCAGAGAGATTCATAGAATCTTCTTTTTTTAGTCCTGGACATGGAACCCAGGGCTTTGTGTGTGACAGGCAAGTATTCTACGAAATGAGCTACACCCCCGGCCTACAAGTAGAGACTTTTGTTGATTATTTTAAATAAGCTTTATGGCACTGATAGCTTTGAAGACCTGGAAAAGTGCTTGTTTGTAGGGTGCTAGGCTAGTTCATCTGTGGGAAATAGACATAAAATAATGTAAAACTAGTGGGTAATAAGTGGTGGCTATGGCCTGGTGATACCCCTCTTGGAGAATTTGCTCTCGTTTCTAGGTTTCTTGTTTCTGTGTTGATGAACTAAGAATGTCTGTGTGTAGAGTAGTGATATAGGGAAGATGCATAAAAATAATAGAGTTTTTTTTTTTTGTCTATTTTTTTGAGACAGGGTCCCTGTTTGCAATTCAGGCTGGCCCTGAGCTCACTTTGTAGCCCAGGCTGGTCTTGAACTCAGAACGATCCTCCTGCCTCAGCCTCCCGAGTGCTAGGATTACAGGCGTGTGCCACTACGCCCAGCAATAATAGAGTTTATAAATAATCTTCGGAATGTGGACAGGAAGGAGGGGCTTTGGGGAATGGAGGCACTCTCTTGCTATGGTCTATGTAATATAGATTTTATGAGATTCAAGGGATAATCAATTTGCTTAGAATTTCAGGCATATATATAATTGGGCCTGATAAACATTTGAAGGGGGATAATATTTCCAATTAGATTTAAATTATTTACATGCTCCTCCAGTTAACTTGCTTTCTTTAGTAATTAAGATCCTATTAGCAACAAAAACTGATAGTATCAATGGCTTACCCAGCTTAAGTTGGCACTTTGTCCTCATTACATACATAATAGGTATGTATGGTCAGTGAGCTTCTTTCCTCCAACCAGGGATCTGAGGACTCAGATTCCTTCCATATTGTGATTCTGCCATTTTCACACATGACTGAATATGTGTCCATCAACAGGAAGCTGGTGGAGAGGAGAACACCCTAAAAGAAGTAGAATGGAAGATTTTGGCTAGTCCTAGAAGAAGACTATGTTCCCTCTGCTCTTATTCCATTGGCTCGAACTCAGTCATGAGGCCAAACCTAACTGCAGGGAAGGCTGAGCTGTGTAGTCCGGGCACGTTCCCAAAAAGAGGAAATGGGTCGGTGTCTAAGGTAACGCTGCAAGTCGCACCTTCTAAAGTGAAATCCAGGGCAATAACTTTGAGCTCTTCAGAATCTGGAAAATTACTTTTGAGCACAGCACAATGAAAATTGAAAATCCATTGGTAGCCTGCAGTTTATTCTGTAGGAGTCTTTTTAATTAACAGCTTAATTGGATAATTTAATCCCCTTTAGAATTGGAGATATGAAAATGAAAATGAGATACTCCCTGTGATCTGACAATACCATGCTTTAATAAACACACCAAAGTGAGCCCGGAAATGAGTACCACAAAGGCACTATGATAATTTGTGATCAGTGAAAGAAAACCTGATCTATAATTTTAATTATTCCTAAATGGTTTAGATACATGTTTCATTTGAATGTGTATTTTGTTTTGTTAATTGGCTCAATTAAGTAGGTAACTGAATATAAGAATCTGTGGCTGAGCCATGGATTTACAATATGTTCTAAGCTTTTAAATTACATCCCATTGAGAAAGTAAATAAAATATCCCATGACATAAGATATTATTGACAGAAAGTACAATATTTTCCAGTATACTTAGAGAACTTGTATGAAATGGTTTTCATTTCTCCATGGATTGTGAGGTAAAAAAGTTATCCTGTTCTTGTTATATGCTTTCCCCACTTGAGTGAGAAATTGAGGCTCTAAGTCCAAGAAATGAAGATAATTGTCGATTTACAAACCACAAAAGTACGGTTCTCATTAATTCTGGGGTAAGACTCCATTTGACAAGAAATACCTGAATGATTAGGTTAAGATTTCCAAATTCAAGCTGCCTTACATATATTGAGTATTATGTTCATTTCCAGTTTGGCTGAAATGCCTGCAAGTGTCGTAGACAAAAAGTATACTTCACCATCTAGAGGTACACTGGGTCAATTTTGAACCTGGTTTATAAGTCAGTGGAATCAGCACCTGGGTAATAGTCAAATAGCTCTCATGCCCTAATAATATTTGATGAATGGGACCAAATAGCCCAGAGTATATTTATTCTACAATTTAACAGATTTTTAATTGGTATTTATGAATAATTAATTGGTTTTTTGCCAAAAATCATAATGAAAATAGCTTCTGTTTATTGACATAATATATGTTCTAAGCATCCTACTAGGACTTTCCCTGCATTATATCCAAACCTTAAAACAGTCATGCAAATCATTGCTACTGTTTCCACCGCGTGGGTGAGAGATACTCCTGAGAATTGCCAAGACCACATTATTAAGTGGAAGAGTCAGAAATGAAGATAGTTTTGTCTGACTTTGGAATCAATTCTCTAATACTACCAGTCATTGGACAATGTTCACAAACATCATTTTGCCCTCTGACTTCCTGTAGATTTCAAATTATGCTTCTGTAGTAGTCTGTTAGAAAATAACATGCGTGTCAAAAGGAGTCAGTTTACTTGATGATATTTTCACCTTGAGTTTCAGAAAGGGTTCCAAGACCTGCTCTTCAAGGATAATGCTTGTTACTATTTATCACTCACATATCATGTTCCTGATAAGCACTAAATGCCTTACTTATGTTACCTAATTATTACAACAACTTGGATACCAATTACTATCCCCATTTTATAGGTAAGGGAATCAAGGCCTGGAGAGGTTAATGACTTGTCCATGTTTGTTTAACTACTAAGCAGCAGTGCTGCGTTTGAATCCAGCATGGTCCAAGTGCTTCCTTAGGCAAACATATAGCTTTGGTGACTATACAAGATTTCCTGGCAGGGTGTCCCTTCAGTTTGGTTGGCAGACACCCCTGAAATTACCCTGTATTCAGCTTCACTTGCTCCCAGCCTGTAGGTCACTTTCTCTAGAGAACAAACCCTTTGCAACACTGCATATACGTAGTTGAGGGACTTTCACACAATTCCTTTTTCTTTGCTTGCCACTTTTCTTCGTGTATGGTACAGCCTTTAAAAATTATTTTTTTAAGTCTTAGATAGGGTCTTACAAAATTGCCCAGGCTGGGCTTCAACTTGTGATCCTCCTGCCTCAGCCTCTCAGAGTGGTGGGATTATAGGTGTATTCCACCATTCCCAGATAATCACCTTGCTTTTACCCTATCATACATTCTGACAGTCATTGTTTCCCAGAGCATCCAAATTCTGAGGTCTTCCTGTATTTTACAGGGTATTTCAGCTTGCTTCTACAAGAGTGTCTATTGGTTTTGTCCATGTGGATTTATAACTTTTAAAAATATATACATTTTAATATCATTTCTGTGACCATGAGAATAGATCTACATCTCAGTCCCCTACATTTAACTGAAGTTTGTTTTATTTTTTTAATGGGAAATACAGTTTATTTGGAAAGAATTGCTGCTCCAGATAAAGTTCTACAATGAATTATTGCCTTTGCCCAGCAATGTCTGCAACTAAATAATCTAAAGATTCTTTTTTTTTTTTTTTTTTTTTTTTTTTTTTTTTGTTTTTTCTCCGGTACCGGGAACTGAACTCACGACCTTGCGCTTGCCAGGCAGGCGCTTTTGCCGCTGAGCTAAATCCCCAGCCCCTAAAGATTCTTTTTTAACTGGTGAATATGAGGAGGTTATATTTCGTGCAGAAGCCTATCCTATTTTTCTTCATTATTTTAATGAACCAGCATGCATGAGCATTTGGTAATTTTCATTTTTCCTAAAGACATAGCCTATCCCTTGGTGAATTCACGTGAGATGAAGGGAATGTATCTCTGTCCACCTTCCAAAGTTGCATAGGAATACATCTAGAAGAATACTTCAGTGGATTTGTCATGAATGCTCCAGAGGAAATTTTAACTTATCTACAAGAGCCAAAGTCAGTCCTTGGAGATTCGTATTTCAGCTCTATTTTGCAGACACACATAGGTTCCAGTGCAGATCGAGTCTGAGTTAATGCACATTTCTTGTTGGGAAGAAATCAATCAAAAGCTGTTTTAGGCATAAATGGTTCTTTAGGAACCAAA